CTGGTCCCTGTCCAGTAGTGCTCACACAGTTGCCCTTGCACAGTGGCTCCTGCCTAGGAAGTGTCCTGGGTCCAAGGGGACTCCACAAGACAAAGTCAAATTCCCACCAACCCACTCGCCGCTGGCTGGTCTGCAGTGTCCACAAAAGTTCAGCCAAATTATCACTGACCTGCTCATTCCTGGGCAGTTGGCGTGGCCCGAGAGAGCTCATTCAAATTCCCACCAGTGGGCTCACCCTTGGGTACTCTCCCAGACAATCAGTGGTGCCCAAATAACCCAATTAGGATCCTACCAGCCTTTCTCATGGCAGATCAGTCCCACAAGCAGCTCAATTGGTGGCTTAAGACGGTGGCTGGATCAGCGGTGTGCCTTTGTGTGCTGACTCAGAATCGTACTGTCCACGGCTGTTGGTAGGTCTCTGTGCTGCGTGAAGGAGTCGCTAGCGGACCTGGAGCACCGCCAGGGGTGCAGGGTTGTGGCGAGGCCACCAGGGTGTGCCAGAAGTGTGGGGACGCGGGGTGGTGTCCCTCCCTGGACACGGTGCTTTGGCGGGGGTGAGGGTGAAGGGCTTGGGCAGCGCTGGGAGTTAGGGGTTGCAGTCTCTTCCCAGATATTAAGCTGCCAAGTCACCAGTCCTCAGCAAATAAGACTTCTTCATGTGCCATCGCCCTCTCTTATGTAATTTTTAAACTCCTTTCTGACATCCATTTTGGTCTTTTCTTCCTCCTTTGTTTTTGTAACAAATTTTTGCTCTCTTCATTGATGATATTCTTGATGTCTTTCCGTAACTCATTTGATCTTTGATCATAAGTGTTCAGTGCTTCAGACCTATTCTGAAAATTATTTTTATATTCAGGTGGGACAGACTCAAAGTCATATTTTGGTTCTTGTGGTCTAGTTCTCATTTTCTTTAGCTTCATCTTGAACTTGCACATGAACAATTGATGGTCTATTCCACAGTCAGCACCAGGCTTGGTTTTGACTGCTGATATGAGTTTCTCCAATGATTCTTTGCATAGATAAAGTCTGTAGTCATAAACCTATGAAAACATAGATTTAGCAAACAATATTTCTGCATATGTATCTGTGTGCTTTAAGTTGTTGTTAATGTGTACCATCGAGTTGGAACCGACCCATAGCTGACCCTCCAGTGGATTTTCAGTATCAGTAAATCATATGAGCTGTGTTTTTTAGCCCATATGATTTACTGCCTCTGGAATACTCTTAAAAGACACAGCAATCATTTGTCTACTTGCTGTACTGAACAACCTGGAGTTGCTGTGATGCTGAAGAGTTTCTTAGTTGTGTTAAACACCATGATGGTTACCCATTATGTACAATGTTTGGATGAGCTTCCAGATTGATTCATGCTGAGAAATAGGAGTGATATCCACTTCCTAAACTAGATGCCTCTGGAAACTCTGCAAACTCTCTAAACTCTGTAAATGTACAGAAATGATGTTAATTATTGATCAGAGTTCAGGTCTTTTGTGCAAAACTTACTCTCAGTCATATTCAACTCAATGACACTTAACCACTGCTAAATTGGACTCAATCTGTCTTATCCGGAGGAACATTCTTCCACTTTGCACTCTTTGTCAATGTGCTGTATAAAGTAACCTGGGTTTGCTGTGATGCTGAACCTTGTGCCGTTGGGATATCAAATTCCAGAATGGTTTGCCATTGTGGACAGTGTTTGGTAGAGCTCCCAGTTGTAAAACAGGTTTGGAAGCAGAAGTGGCATCCACTTCCTAAAGCACATGCCTCTGGAACTCCGTGACTTGGAGAAATGATGACAGTTGTGGAAAGGCTTCAGGTATTTTGTTCACAGAGGGCTATGAGTTGTCTTCAACTCAACAGCAATCAACACCACCAACAACAACTCATATGGGAGGAGATTGCAGCACAGTTTCTTACCATTGTTGTTGTTGTTATGTGCCATCGAGTGGCTTGTGACTCATAGCAACCCTATATACAACAGCCCTAAACGCCACTCTGTCCTGTGCCAATCTCACTGTCTCCGACAAAACCACCCCCATTACCCCAGTCACTGAATCAATCCACCTCATAGAAGGGTCTTCCCCTCCTGTGCTGTCCCTCCACCTTCCCAAGCATGATGTCCCTCTCCAAGGACCTGTCCCTCCTTACAACATGTCCAAAGTATGTCAGACAAAGCCTCAGAATTCCTGCCTCCAAGGAGCAGCCCAGTTTAACCCTCTCCAGGATGAACCTCTTTGTTTTCTTGGCAGTCCATGATACATTCAATACTCTTCTCCAGCAGCACAGCTCAAAGGCATCCATTCTCCTTCTATCCTCCCTAGTCATTGTCCAACTCACTGATGCATAACAGCTGATGGCAAAGACTATGGCCTGTATCAGATGCACTTTAGTCTCTAGAGTGACACCATTGCTCTTCAATACTCTGGAGAGGTCCCTAACAGCAGACTTTCTCATCACAGTATGTCTTTTAATTTCCTGGCTGCTGGTGCCAAGGGTGTTGACCATGGAGCCAAGCAAACTAAAGTTGTGAAAAATCTCAAACTCTTCACCATCTATCCTGATGTTGCCAATTGGCCCAGTGGTGAGAATCTTTGTTTTCTTGATGTTGAGCTTCAACCCATATTGAAGGCTGCAGTCCTTGACCTTCTGCAGCAAGTGCTTCAGGTCCTCCTCAGTTCAGCAAGCAGGTGTGTGTCATTGGCATAACTCAGATTGTTGATGGATCAACAATCTTACCATTAGGCCACCATAACTCTCCTTTAAGTAAGTCTGTGTAAAAGGCAGAGCATGCAAGGGCCAAAATTATGAAAATGTGCTAGCCATAACCCAACATCATGAGGGAGGGAGTGGCTGAGCTGGGAAACTCAGGTCTTTTGTCTCAGAAGAAAGCAAAGTAGTTACCCTAAGACAGGCCACAAAGACAGCGTTCTCCATCCTCTTTGCAAATGCTGGCAAGCAGCCATAGAAGGTGCAACTGTTGGTCTCTTTCTGTGCAGAGAAAAGAAGAGTGAAAAAAATTAAAGAAAATTCATCTCAAGGACTAATGGACCATGTGAACTTTCAGTCTCCACAACCCTGAGATCAAAACTAGATGGTGCACCACCACCACTGCTGACTGCCCTGCCAGGGGTCATGGTACAAGGTCTCTGATAGAGTAAGAGGAAAATGTGAAACTCAAAGTCCTAAAAAAGAGTAGGTTTACTGGGCTGATAGTGACTGATGGAACCATGGTCCTTAGTCAAGCTTAAAATGGAAATTACTCCTTTGGCTCAACTTTTTGTCAGACAATAAACAGGAAGAGACTCACAAGGTCAATAGTGACACACCACCAGAGGGGGGTGCTCTCCTAAACACAGTCTGCCAGAGAAGATCAAAAGGGCACCCATTTGCTCAGAGATAAAGCCTACACAATGATGGGAAAGTCTGCTGTTAGGGACCTCTCCAAAGTACTGAAGAGCAATGGTGTCTCTCTGGGGACTAAGGTGTGTCTGATACAGGCTATGGTCTTTGCAATGACTTGTTATGCATCATAGAACTAGACAATGACTAGCTTGGAAAACTGCTAGGAAAACAAACAGATTCATTCTGGAGAGGGTTAAGCCAGGTGGCTCCTTGGAGGCAAGGATTCTGAGGTTCTGTCTAACATACTTTGGACATGTTGTGAGGAGAGACTGGTCCTTGGAGAAGGCCATCATGCTTGGGAGGGTGGAGGGACAGCGCAGGAGGGGAAGGCCCTCTATGAAGTGGATTGATTCAGTGACTGGGATAATCGAGATGGGTGTGTCAGAAACAGTGCGACTGGCACAGAACAGAGTAGAGCTTAGGGCTGTTGTACATAGGGCCACTATGAGTCGCAAGCGACTCAACAACACTTAACAACAACAAGAGTAACAAAGCTTAGGAAGCAGGAAAAGACAACGAATAGAAATGGAAAACAGGGAGGAAATGAGAAGAGTGCTGTAGAATGTGGAGATTGTGACGGTTATCACAAAACCTAAAGTCTATGGACTGTTGGATAGTAAATCTATTTGTTCCATAAACTTTCACTCAAATCATAACCAAAAATAAAAGGTATTGTCATCTTTTTAAATATATCTGGACTCTTGAAGCAAAAATGGTTCTCTAAAATATGTTGTTGTTGATTGTCTTCGAGTCGAGCATGACTAAGCACGACTCTACGAACAAAAGGCCTGAAGCCCCTCTATAACTATTGACATTTATCAAAGTTCATAGAGTTTCTGGTGGCATGTTATTTAGGAAGTGGATGCCACTCCTGCTTCCAAACCAGTCATAGTATGTTATTGTTGTTTTGTGCCATTGAGTCACTTGCGATGGATAGATGTGCATATATTATAATCAAACAACTCCATATCTAGTGATGGATTGTGTGGCAAATTTTATTTTACAAAGAAATCCTGAACAATACCTCCCATCTCGTATACTTTCTCCAATGTGACCTTGCCAGATCTTCAGCAATGGGGATTAATTAGACATCTTTCCTTTTATGTTCAAAACAAAATAAAAACTCAACATCTCATAGCTGGCCCTCCAGCAGACTTCCAAGGTTGTAAATAGGAGGGTCAGAGATTGTCCATCTTTCCCTACGTGCCAGCCTCTGATGGATTTTAACCACTAGAGAAGTGTGGTCCTGGGGTTAACAGCACAACTCCCTCTGAATTAGGCGACTGCTGCTTCTTCTTCTAAAACAGAATGTTGCTGATGTTTGTTGTATGCCTGTCAAGTTGGAGCCGACACACAGTTGACTCTCCAGTAGGTTCAGAGACAATAAATCACAAAAGAGAGGCCTGCCCATCTTTCTCCCCTGGAGCAACTGGTGGATTTGAACTGCAAGCCTTTGCATTGGCAGTGCAAGTCCTCACCACTAAGCCACCAGAGCTCCCTTTAGAATGAAATCATTTCTTTAGAACCTTTGAGGTAAGTGATAATATTTCATTCAAGAGTGCCACCACAAGTTAAACGCCTAACATTGATTTCCACAGAACCTATTCTTCAGTGGACTGTTGGAGTTAAAATGCCAAAGAAAAACTTTCTCCGAGTACAGCCACATGTGATAAATCTCGTTGCAACAAAATGCCCCTGTTCGAATGATATAGCTTTACTTGGCCTTGTTCTCAATACAAAATTTCAAGGTAAGTTTATGGTTTTGTGCAATGTCTTTTGTAACAGTGACGTTTAGTTGGCAGTATTGTATTGGGAAAGTCTGGAGTTAGGGACCTCTCCAAATTATTGAGGAGTAACAATGTGAGGGCTTAGATGTGCCTGATTCAGGCTATGAGCTTTCTGATCTCTTGCTATGTCATCTGAGAGCTGGATAATGAATATAGATGACAGAAGAATTGATGCCTTTGAGTTGTGATGTTGGGAAAGAGCACTGAACATCCCAAGAACTGCCAAAGGGACAAATAAATATGTTTTGGAGAGGGTGCAGCCAGAGTGCTCTTTGGAGGTAGGATAATGAGACTTCGCCTCACTTACATTGGCCATGTTGCTTGGAGGGGCTATGGCTTGGAAAGGGACATGATGCTGGAAAGGGTGGAAGGTCAGTGAAGGAGAGCCAGACCCTCACTCAGGTGGACTGCCACAGTGACTGCCACAGTGGGCCCTCGTGTGTCAGGAAGTGTGAGGATGGCACAGGATAGGACAGGGTTCAGGTCCACTCTTCGTAGGGTCACTATGAGTGTTACTCAACTCAATGACACCTAACAACAACAACTAATTAAATGCACAATCATAGTGTAGAAGAATGTTTCCTAAAAATACTCAAGAATTACTCTTTGTCACTCTATCTTGTTCGCTTGCAAGTAGAATGTACTAAGTATATCCTAAATTTGTATATCATTTATAAATTTCTGTTAAGAGCTGTTGAGTCATTGCAATTACTAGCAACCATGTGCGACAGAGTAAAAATCCCTGTAGGGTTTGCTTGTTGTTGGTTTTAGATGTCATCAGTTCAAGTATGATTCATAGCAACTCCATGGATAAAAGAACTGAAGAAAAGCGGAATCTTTAGGGGAAAACTGGATTAGGAGTTAACTGCTTAACCATTGCAACACCAGTTGTTGTTGTCAGGTGCCACCAAAGGTTCTCATTTTTCGCTTACATATATACCAATTCACAATAACCCACAGAAAACCTCTCAGATCAAATAGGAGAGTTCTACAAGATTGTGGATTATAATCCACAAAAACCATCTCACCAAAATTAAAATAAAAATTACAATTTTAGAAACTCTATAGAGCAATAAAACCAAAGTCTACTTAGGAATAGACTATTAAAAGAAAAGAAAGAGTTGCAAGACCTGTTGTGTAACTTAAAAAATTCTAATGAGATGGAAACAATGCAAGAGCCCATCAAATGGATAGAAAAACATGGTACATTCATTCATACAAGGGAATATTATGCAGCACTGAAAAACAATGAACTCGTAAAATACTACACAGAGTTGAGCCTGGAGGGCATTATGCTGGGGGAAATATCTCAGTTACAAAAGGACAAATATTGTGTAACACCACTGTCATAAAATAGGACTGATGTCGGAGACTGGGAGAACTATGGGGGGAAAGTGGATAGATAATGAACACTGCGTTGGAACAGATGAAGGAAGAACTGTCCGAAAGGAATATGTGTGACAACAATCTGAAATAAGTTGTGCATTGCAAAGTGGACTTGGGGAGAGGGAAAGGAAGATGAGAGAGGAAAAACATGCAACAACGAATGAATTTAAAAAAACTAAACTCTAGGGGAGCTCTGGTGGCCTAGTGGCAAGAAGCTGCAACTACAGTCCCATAGGTGCACAGTTCGAATCCACCAGATGCTCTGCCGGGGAAGGAGGGGCAATCTCCTCTTGTACCAGTCAGATCCAATTTGACGGTACATGCACACAAAAATAATAAAATAAAATTTAAAAAAAAAACAACTAAACTCTAATGAGGGTCACTTGATTGTGCGCATGTGAAACCTATACTTAGACCAGAAAGCGTCATCAAAATTTATTACTCGATGCAAGGGATTCTTTCCATAGTCAATTGCCAATAAGACAGACGGATGGCAATATCCTAAGCACTTCACTGCAGATCTGGAAGAGCAGTGAGAATCATCTCAAAAACTTCTTCCTCATCTAATAGCGGTCATTAGGTTTTATACTTGGGTTACATTGTTACAGTTTCGAGTAAACAAACAGCTTTTGATCATTTACATATGACTGAGAAAAATATCTACAAAGAGATAAATGCTAATTCAATTACATGTAGCTGAGACAAACATCTTCAAAGAGGTAAATGCTAATCCAGAATTACATACAGCTGAGAAAAAGCATATCAAAGAACTAAGTACTAATCCAGGAAAGATGCATTGCCTTTCCTGGTAAACAAACAATTGCAAGTACTTTACATGACTGGTGAGAGAAAAATAGAATTCTAGGGCAAAACAACTAGTTTTGCAGGCTGGAGGCAACTGATGTCAGTTTTACAATTATACTAACTGACATGTTTGAGTAATCCTGAATGTATTGATACCACCCTATCAAACAGAGCAAGGAAACACTGCATGGTTCAAAATCAAGAAAGGAGTATTGCAGGGATACATCCTTTCCCCACACCTTTTTAATCAATATGTGGAACAGATCTTTCGGGAAGCTGGACTTTATGAGGAGCAAAGTGGCATCAGGATTGGAGGAAGACTCATCAACTGTGTTATGCAGATGACACCTCCTTGCTTGCTGAAACTGAAGAAGACCTAAAAGCATTTGCTGCAGAAGGTAAAAGACTGTAGTCTTCAATATGGATTGAAGCTCAACATCAAGAAAACAAAGATTCTCACCACTGGGCCAACTGGAAGCATAATGATAGATGGAGAAGAGGTTGAGATTGACAATAACTTCAGTTTATTCAACTGCTTTGGTAAAATCTACTGTCAGGGACCTCTCGAGAGTGCTGAAGAGAAATGATGTCAGTCTAGAGACTAAGGTGCTATGGTGTCAAGACTATGGTATTCACAATTATTTGCTATGCATCAGAGAGCTAGAATAATCAATGCCTTTGAACTATGGTGCTGGAGAAGGGTATTGAACATAGTATGGACTGCCAAGAGAACATATAGTTCTGTCCTAGAGACCTTGAAACCAATGTGCTCTTTGCAAGCAAGAAGTTTGAAGATTTGTCTCACAATACTTTGGGCATATTGTCAGAAGGAACCAATCCCTGGAGAAAGACATCATGCTTGAAAAGGGTGGAGGAACAGCACAGGAAAAGAAGGCCCTGGATGAGACGGATTAGAGTAAGGGGGATAGGTGTGTCAGAGACAGTGAGTTTGGTTCAGCATAGAGAGGGTTCAGAGCTATTGTCCTCTATGTCATTAAGGAGTCATTTGTGTCCTATTATCTCTATGTCACTAAGAGTCATAGTCAATTCAACAGCACATAACAAAAACCACGAAGATAATGCCAATAAATCCTATAGAAGAAAGAAGACATTTTATATTAATGGACAGGAATTTCTAATGCTACAAAGAAATTTTTCTCCAAATTGATCAATTCCAAGCCATTCTAAAAAAAATTCTAACAGTGGGGTTTTTAGAGGATGGGGCAACCACAAAACTCATATGGAAGAGTAAAGCACCAGAAGTAACATTTTTCAATTTTAAAGGATAGAAATTGTCCTACTATGACTTTACTACAAAATGACAGGTTCGTTAAAGTCATAGAAGTCTAAAACACATCAAAAAAACGCTGAGATATTAAAGTCTAATGAAGTGAATATAAGCTTTTACTTTTCTATCTTAGACATTTTCTTTTTCACTTGGTTTTCATTTAACCATGAATGTATATTTTGTTTTAGAATATTAATAACAGCTGATCAGTGTGGGCTACTACAATGTTTGATCAAATCCGTGCCATGCTTTCCTCTTCTCATCTACCCTCTATCCCTCTCTTCCCTGTCAACCCTCCATGATCCCTCCCTGTGCAAACCATTCCTTAGTGATAGTCCCCTCTTCAATCAGTCATTTCTATCGATTCTGTTCTTGGTGGTTAATTGCCACACGCAATGCCTGGTCACCCATTCCTTTCATATTGACCCTCCTTACAAACTTTTTTTCACTTTTGAGGCAGATTCTAGGTCTTGATTTTCATATATTATTAAATTTTTTAAATTACCTTTATATTTATGGTTTGCTTTGCTGATTTTTTGTTATGATTTTAACTATTTTCTTCCTTTTACATATTTTTTACTTCAAACTTCATTTTTTTTCTTTTTACATTTATTTTCTTTTTTGGTCTTTCTCTCTCTCTCTGACTTGTCAATTATTTTTTTCCTCAAGCTATTTAAAACTTATTATATACTTCTAAGTTCAACTATTATTATCTTTTCTGTTTCTATATAGTTACACATTACATCTTAAGATTAAACACATTTTTAAGAGCTTATTACTAGGTACTTTGTGTTCTTCCTTTTACGCCATGCTAAAAATTTTAGCTTAGTTTTAAGGTAATCAAGTATTTTTTTTAGTGCATCAGCCAAGTGGAACTTCTATAAAGGAATATTTTAATTTTAAAATCAGGAAAGGTGTGCACCAGGATTTCTTTCTCCATACCTAGCCAATCTGTATGTTGCGCATTATTTGAAGAACTGGATGGACTATCTGAAGAAGAATGTGGCATCAAGATTGAAGGAAGACTCGTCCACAACCAGTGCTAGGCAGAAAGTTCAACCTCGCTGCAAGAAAAGAAGACGTTTAAGCTCCAAGACTGCAACTTTCAATAAGAATTACATCTCAACATCAAGAGAATCAAATTCTCACTGCTAGATCCAAGTTGTAAAATCCCAAGGACTTCCAAAAGAACAAGCAAGTTTATCTTGGAAGAAATGCAACCAGCGTGCACCTTAGGAACAAGAACGGTAAAACTTGGTCTCATGAGTTACAGGCAATATCTAGGGACCTCTGGCGGCCTACTGGTACATAGTTGCATTCCAACTCAGAGGCATTCAGTTTTAATCCATGGAGAAATTTATAGCCTCTAAACACCCACTGGAGTGTCAGTTCTGACTAGACAGCATATAACAAGAATGTGAGTAATATGTAAGTATAACTAATAAAAATAAAAGTTATATGAAGTCTGTGCTTATTTAATATCAGACACATATTATTGGCATATACAATTTAAGGAAAAGTTAGTATTTTTATTTGAATGTTATATTACTAAATATCAGACTTCAATATTAGAATACCTTTTTGTAGCACAAAAACGCAAAAGTCTTTAAGCTTTAGTTAATGTTTTTGTTGTTGTTGTTATGTGCCGTCGAGTCACCTGCAAATCATAGCGACGTTATGTACAATAGCCCTAAACCTTGCTGTATCCTGTGCCAATCTCAGTGTCTCCAACACACCTACCCCAAATAGCCCAGTCACTGAATCAATCCACCTCATAGAGGGTCTTCCTCTCCTGTGCTGTTCCTCTACCCTCCCAAGCATGATGTCCTTCTCCAAAGACTGGTCCCTCCTTGCAACACATCCAAAGTATGTCAGATGAAGCATCAGAACCCTTGCCTCCAAGGAGCAGCCTGGTTTAACCCTCTTCAGGATAAACCTGTTTGTTTTCTTACCAGTCCATGGTATATTCAGTACTCTTCTCCAACACCACAGCTCAAAGGCAGCAATTCTCCTTTAATGCTCCCTAGTCATTGTCCAACTCACTGATGCATAGCAAGTGATTGTAAAGACCATGGCCTGTATCAGGCACACCTTAATATCCAGAGTGACACCATTGCTCTTCAGTACTCTGGAGAGGTCCCTGACAGTAGATTTTTCCATTGCAATACATCCTTTAACTTCCTAGCTGCTGGTGACAAAAGTATTGACTGTGGAGCCAAGCAAATTAAAGCTTTGAGCATCTCAATCTCTTCACCATCCATACTGATGCTGTCAATTGGCCCAGTGGTGAGAAACTTTGTCTTCTTGATATTGAGACTCAATCCATATTGAAGGTTACAGTCCTTGATCTTCTGCGGGAAGCACTTCAGGTCCTCCTCAGTTTCAGCAAGAAGGTTTGTCATCTGCATAACACAGATTATTGATAATCTTCCTCCAATCTTGATGCCACACTTCTCCTCATGCAGCCCAGCCTCCCAGAGAATCTGTTCTGCATACAGGTTGAAAAGGTATGGAGATAAGACACGTCCCTGGTGTACATCCTTCCTGATTTTAAACTATGCAGTGTTTCCTTGCTCTGCTAATTATGAGTATTATAATGCATAAGTTAGAATGAGTATTTGTTAATTTACAATAAAGTAAGTTGAAGATTAAATCTGTGTAAAATGACACTGTTAAAGTGGGTTCTAAAACTATTTAAATTGTTACTATTAATATCTTTAATATTTAGATAATATTTACTTAATATTGTATTTGCTTGTGTTTGTTTATGGAGGGTTTTTATGTTGGTAAGTTTTTGTTAATTGTGTTGAAATAATATTCTCATTTAGATTTCATTAATATTCACACTATTAACTTCTTTTTTATGTTTTAAAAGGTTTTTATTTGACTGAGGGGGTGCATTTTTAGACAATTATTATCAGGAAAGATTCATCTTCATTTAATTATAAGTTAGTTTAGGTGTTATGAAAAGCAGATCATCTAATCTTTTTCTCTTGTAAGCAGGTTAGCGGTTTATGTTTTAATTTTTTTTGTTTGGGCAAATTATTGATGCTTTTAAAAGTTTTCAACATAGTTATCAGGAAACTTCAGAGTTCCTTTAATTTCCTACAATCTAAGTTAGTTTGTTTGTTGTACTAGCTGTTGTCTAAGTTGAGGACTCGATTTTAGGTGCTGTGTGATCTATTACAACTCCATGAGAGAAAGATATGGCAATCTTCCAGCCTTAGAAAAGCTATTAAAAAAGATTTGTACCCACGGAAGACATTATCCCTAGTGAAATATCTCAGTTACAAAAGGACAAATACTGTATAATGCCACTATTACAAAACAGGACAGACATGGGGATGGGGGGGGGACTAAGAAAGGGGATAAATAGTGTACATGGAATTGAAACAGATGAGGGAGAAAATTGTATAAAAGGAATACATGAGTAAGTATTATTGGTATGACAAGAGTTCAGAATAAGAGTTGCGCAGTAAAGTGGGTTTGGTGGGAGCGACTGAATAACAATGAAAGAACAGTTTTTCCAAAGAAAAAACTGGGGTGGCAGGGAGGGAGGAAAATGTGCAACAATGAATGAATGGAAAGAAAGTTCTTTATAAACTTACAATAAAATATTTTTTTAAAAATCTGTCCTCTTGGAGACCATCTGGGCCAGGCCTGGTGGTAAGAAGCTACATTGCAGGGCAGCCAGGTGGAATTCAGCTGGTCTGCAGGAGGACGATGGACAGTTTCTTCCACTACTATTTACTCGTTTCGAAAACCCACTGGAGGGTCAGCTATGAGTCAACTCCAACTCGACAGCACACAACCACAGGATCATTATAGTTTAGAACTGACTCAATAGCCATGGTTTAGACTTTAACAAACCAACCTTGCCCTATCATTGTCACAAACTCCACCATGCTCAAGAGTGTGATTGCAGGATCCATCAGTCCATCTAGTGGGAAGTCTGCCTGGCTTTTGCTGACCCTTCACTTTTCCAAGCATGTTGTCTTTCTACCAGCTATACCACAAAATGCTTTCATAATTCAGTATAGCTTGGAAAATATTTTTTTATTTGCTATAGGATTTATTACACTGTCTTTAATTCTATTCCAGGATATATTATTTTTTTTAAATTAAATTAATTTATTTATTTTTCATTTCAATGAACATCTACAGAGATTTTGGAATTCCATT